GCTGGCTAGCTGTGAGGTATTGAGCTGTCTACCTATCGTCCAATCTATTTTAGGGACATATTACCCTGACGACAGCTTAAAAGTTGAGACAAGCGTTATTCAGTCGGCCTCTACATACTTCAAATAAAGGGGGGACATGAAACGCCGGTGTACGATCTACCATTGTAGTTAGATTCCCCGGCGCTGCAAGGCCTTACGGCAAGACTAATGAACTGCATAAAGTGAGGAGAAATCTTCCTTTAGCAGTTGATATTATTACTCCTGAATAAGAAAGGGACTCACAACTTCTAGTACTGCAAAGTGAAGGACCGATTATTTTGGAAAGGGAATAAGTGAAAGCCTGGGTGACATCTGGTCTCACCGAGACATGCACAGTTTAGTAGTTAGTCATGTGCTTCAGATTTTTAGATAATCTACTATTTATTTCACTTGGAAATACTTTTTTTATGTGTGTCTACTGTGACACTTTGACAATTTATTTAACTCTTTGTTTTGGTTTTACTAGCCCTTAAGGCTCCTTCTTTACACTTTTGCTGGGCAGCATGACCTCCAGGTCATACCAGTAACCTCCTAGCTCTTCAATACATCGGCAATACACATTCTACCCGAGACTTATGCCTTCTTTCGTCTTCAGTAAAGTCTCAAGGAACTGCATTAGTGACAGCAGAAAGCAAAATCCAATTCTAAAGGAAAACTGTCCTAATTCCCTAATGCTGAACCTTAATGTGACGGAAGGAGGATACATGCTGCTGAAAGAATTAGTGACGGAACCTAAAAGAAGGATTAAAAATGTCTACCTCCGACAGCTACCCCAATCCCACGGTCAGCAAAATGCCATTAATAAATGAAGCGACACCAGCCGTGGATCATCTGGGAAAGTTTGTTACGGAGCTGTCTATGATACCTTAATGAAGATGGCATTTATGTAAACAGGCGATACCTCCTCCACTTCTCTACTAGTTGGATAGTCCCCAGGTAGTTGAAAGGGGCGGGTTGTACTGAAGTGAGAACAAAGTGGCAAAGGGGAATATAAGCGAAACGGACAAGAAGAAAATTGTTAAATCTCATATGTTGTTATACGACTCTGCCTTTATGCCACTGTTCCTACAACTAGCGATGGGCATGTTCAATGACCGGCGCATTTTCTCTTTCGCCTATTCAGTTCCCAATCAGGACAAAACTTTAAATCCAGTTGAATCGTCAAGAGGAATCTGTGACGTTGCCGTCAAGTAGATTCTCATTTACATGGAAATTTGAAGACTGGAAATGTTAATTCGCTAGTTCTTTTCCTTACAGCACTGACTACGCTGTGATGGCTGAAGCAAATGGCTAAGGAGAACGCGAGCTACGGAGCTCAAAAGGAGAGCGATCTATGTAATGCTTTGATTGTTTAGCTCTCCTCTTTGGTTTCAAGGGCACTTAAGGCCCAGCTATTGGTCTTCCGCCCAGTTGCATGGTCTCCGGGCTGCACAAGCAGTTCCAAACCCCTCTACACGTCGCCGATACATATTCTAGCCTAGTACTAAAACTTATTTTAACTTCAGGGAAGACACAGGAGGCTACATTATTTAGGAGCCACATAGCACAATGAGCCCGTTTGCTGTTTCTTAAAGGAGTTTCTATGAATGATGACAAATTTGGCTAAATTGCAACGCATATTTCATTGAGTATTAAAAACTTCACGTTTTCATCTTTGGCAACTATATTTAAGCAAGCCGACATCGGAAACACGTGATATCGCCTGAGATTTGGAGTTCCGATTTGTCTTGCACCAAAATCTGGTCAAAGGGGTCCAGTAACACCCCATTTTGTAGTGAGAAAGTGTAAGTGTGTGTGTACATCCATGTGTGAGAAAATGGATTTCAAAGGCCCCGTTCCGAAAATTTCACACCCAAAAGGCGATACCAATTCTCAGACTAGCTTTAATCCCCTGCTTTTACATTAAATTAGAAATTTTCTGTGTAAATAGTATTGTAGCGCCCTGGGATTTCCCTGAAGACGAAAAAAGATATAATACTGTGCCAGAATATGTATTGCCGACGTACGGAAGGGCAGAGTGGCCACTGTTATGGCCCAGATTTCAGCATACCCAGCAAAGGTACAAATTTGGAACCCCTGAGCGGCCCCTATACAAAAGCCTACATTTAAATAAACATTTAACGTACTACTCTATTATCCGACGTGTTTACCACCATCTTTTGGTAAGAGCTTATTTCGGGTCACAAGGACCTGTGGAGAACTAAAAACGTCCGCATAGTTAGATGTAACTTCAGCGTTTTCAACGGTCACACATTGCTTTGGTTGTTACAATCCTCCCTGTAAAATGTAAACATTCGAGAGACAGGGACCAGTACTGTACTTTACATTTGTGTAATACTTTATTAATGATAGAATGTGTCGTGGAGTTAGAATGAGACTTTAAAATATCACACATTGAGTCAAATTCTGTCTTAAGAACATGCTGCCGAGCTTACTCTTGCACAAAATGACCTTCCCTTCATAATATGCCAAACCGTCCAGGGCTGACTTCTGGTTTACTGTTGAAGAAGTAACCTTTCTGCTCACTTCTTCACTGGCAGGGCGATTTATCACAATCAGTAGGAATGGTTAGGAAGAATTTTTTTCACCTTCCCATTACCCCTCCAATCAAATTGCTTTCAGGCAAACAAGCCTTCCGAAAAACCTCCCTGCCTCGTTTTTTGTCGACCACTGGCAATTGGTGGTTAGTTGTGGCCAAAAATTCTTCACTAGCAAACCTACGAAGAAAATAGTGCCATTCAAGCAAAACAGACCGTATCCTTTCCAAAGGGGAAAAATAGGATTTTTCACAAATGTTTTATAACCGAATTAAGGTTAAGTATCTAGCACAGTGCAGATCTAGTTAGAATTATAATTAAGACTTTATTATTGTGGATATTCACTCTGGACTCACGTAGCCGCATTATGGGAGGAGCTAGTGGGGAACCAACAGGCGTTGTCATCAATAATGCCTTGGCCCCCCTTCCCATCTCTGATACAGTCTACGTTCCCCCAAACACACATCCACTGAAAAGTCTATCAATCAAAGACTCCCTCCTTCGTTTGCCTTTCTCCAAACTATCGTCTGCCACGGTTATTGTTCGAGGCGCACGCAACCCCTAGTCGATCATTAGGCGGATACGAATAATGTAGAATGATAAAATTAACCCTGAATAAAATGGATGAAGCCTTTAACACTTAAGTTACAGTTGGAAGCCCAAAAATCGCTTTATTTCAGTTGGATAGATTGGTTTCAAGATTTATTTTAACCACATGGAAACCAGTCGCTAATAATGAATCCACAAGGCCTCTATAAACGGACACCGAATGGGCGAATCAAAGCCTGTCTTTAATTACTTCCTTTTTCAGTTTGTTCAGGTTATCTACCAACTCAATCTCAGGTCTTGCCTTTTATGTGGGTGATTTTAGACGGTAAAACCCTTACATACTTTCAAGGCATCGATCTTTGTACTGTTAGCTCTCCAAAATCACTGAATGATGATGTTTAAATACCAAACAACTGGGTGGCAGTTATGCCAATAATTTAAATATTATGTCCTATTTCGCTTTAAGACTCTCACCACCACTCAAGTAACCAACAATGCCAAGGTCGACAAAAAGTACAACTCATGCACCCACCTTGCATTTTTAGGTAAATCATAAATGCCACTGCCCTACAGTACCTAAAGCCAACCGCAATCAGTTGATTGGAAGCGTCATCGCAGTGCAACTCTGATGGCATAGCCAAGTTGCTAACCATTTGGTGAAGTGCCTAACAGAACAACTTGGTTCATCCCAACCAACCTAAGTATCGCTACCTTCGGAGTGTAAGTAATGGATGAATCATCTAACCTAGCAAAGTAGGCCATGCATTTGCCGTTTGTAAGGCGCATGGTACTACAATACGTTGGCAGTTTGTTTAGCTCTCCGTTGTATTAACGGGCCAATTAGGGGCTCCGCTATTATACCTTGCCTGCTGGTCTGGCCTTCGGACTATGCCAGTGGCCCCTAAGCGCTTCTGTAGGTTGACAATAAATATTTTGTCCGAGTATTCTGTCTGCATTTGTCTTCAGGGATGTCTAGGAACATTACATTCATGTAAAATAGGATTCCCCTGATATTACTTTTGGGGCTACTGGCATGGGTTAGAAGCTAGGCTGCTAGATGAAGATAAAATGGGGAGGCTCTAAGTGGCCTCTCCACCGAAAAGGAGAGTTGAACAAACACCTAGTGTATTGCATAACCCCTCTCCTCTTTTGAGCCTCGCCCTCGTCGTTCCCTTTGGTCAACCCACCATTTCAGCCATCACAACGAAGTCGATGAAGTATGAAAGATACCCACGGGCCAACCGTGACAGTGACCGAAATTTTGTGCTACTGTGGAATTTCTTGACTGCAAGGTTGCTGATCCCTCTTGACAATTCTACCGGATCTGTAATTTCGTCTTGTTTGGGAAATGAATATAAGGATGAAGAATGTGCTCCCCATCACTAGTCGAGGGAATACTGGCCTAATTGTGGAGTCATATAACAAAGGGTAGGATTAAACAAAATTTTTATGATGGCCATTTCGCTTCTATTCCTCCTTGTCACTTGGTTCCCACTTCAGTGCAACCTAGCCATATCAACTACCTGGGTTACATTCAACTAGTAGAGAAGTGGAGGAGGTACTGCGCGTTCACCTAAATAACATCGTCATTCCAGTGTGGTCGAGAACTCCGTAACAAACTTTTCGAAGTGGTGCATGGCTAGTGTCGCCCTAGTTTTTAATAGAGTTATTACTGAACATGGGACTGGGGTAGCTGTCGATGGTAGACGTTATTTTCAGCCCTCCTACCTTCCACCCTTCTTCCGTCACATTAGGTTTAGCACTTAGGAAAGGGAGCCCGGAGAGCTGCCGTTTAGGTTCTGGTTTGCCTTACGCTGCCAAGAATGTAGCGCTCCGACACTTTTCTGAAGTCAAAATAAGACACAATTCTCGGACATTTCGAATTATTGCGCAGTAATGTTTTCGTTGAGTTCACATATTTGTCCACTCCAAAGGGGAAATGTCTACTTTAAGGCAATGATGTTTGCGTATACAAACAATTGACACCAGCCGGCAGATTATATAAACAGCATCTTTCTTTTGTTAAGTAGCAAAATTAACTGGGTTTTAAGGGATTTTATATCATCAACCAGGCTAAGAAGGCTGTTAGTCGATTAAATGTTACTCCACTGAGACCCGGCCGATTGGTTTACTAGAAAAAGGAAAACCCGCATTACTAGAATAGAACATCTGACCCCACTACTTTCACCACTAACATCTATTAATATACATATTTTTTTTCTTCATTAGGAAATGGGAAAAAATTCATGGGGTCATAAAATACAACTCCTTAATTATTCTAACCACATAAATTAGCGTTTAAAATTAGTTTTAAGATGACCTTTGTCCACCAGCTGTCGGGTTGATTAATCAAAGGTGAATGGGGTGAATGGAAGGATATTTTGAGAATGCCTGCGGTTGGGACAGGTAAACAGCGTTTTTGACCTTTGTGCACAAATTTAACTACAGCCAAACGTAATTCATTAGCCGCATTCTGCTTTACTGTTTGATGTGGTATCTGTAGCGCCTCGAAACTTCCCTGAAGAAAACGGAGGACACGAAACTCAGTAATGTATTGTTGATGCAAAGAGGGATAACATTGTTCCTTAGGTATCCTGTTAAAAAAAACCGACAGTTAAGCAAACAATAAATGTTTTGCAGGATCTAGTAATGTTTGATGAATTAGTAATGATATGTTGATGCACGTTGGAAAATACACTCTCCTAACATTTATGAGTCAGAATGCTTAATGATGCCTTCAAATTACTCTGCTAAAGGAGAGGGAAGAAAGAACATACATAAGAGCGTTAGAATATTGTGCCCAAATTCTCGTTCTTCTTTATTAAGTCAGCTCATTTCTGCCCACAAAAATGGTGAATTATTTTACAAATTGCCAGTTTACTGTTTTTGTATTCGTATTCAATCAGCTAAGACTACTCATTCAGTTTCTCCTCTTTCAAACACACAAATTCGGTGCGTCCATTTTGTTACTTTGTTCTGCTTGTGAGGGAATTTGATGAGTCCGCAGCTTGGCGCTGCTTCTTTTGTGTGCATTGCGCTTTCAACGTAACCTCGAGCAGCTCACAAACACACACACACACAGGCGACCAAAGGGAACCAGCTAGAGCCGGCGATTTAGCCATAACGCGCGGAAGGCCAAGCAGTGCAATGAATCACCACTACCACCAAAGGAGCTCTAAGCCATAGCGCTGACGTGGCCATGCCACGATGACTCATCCCACCTAGCGAGAGCGGTTGCAAGCGCATTTGCGCACGCGCGCCCCCTCTCTCATTGGCTGGTGGTGGCGTGCACGTTTCGGACGAGGGGCTAATTGGTTAGCCTCACTCACGGACGGGTTGTCTATTGGCTGGTGTGCATTTGCGAGAGCCAAGTAATTGGTGATGAGGGGATAGAATGTCTGGCATTACGAGCCAATCGAAATAGGAGACGTGTCAAAAGCAGTATGAAAGCAACGCGGGATGAAATTAGGTTTCTACAACTCAATACCGTCTGTTTGAAGAAGGGTTTTTGTCAATTTCTAAGGACTTATAAAGTCAGTAGCTCACTTTTTTTGAAAAAAAGGGAAAAGCTAACCAGTGCGCACTTTAAGGGGTAAAATGCAGGACATTCTAATTGAGCAAATGCTATCAATGAGCGGTAACTTGGAGTACTTTTAAACATATAGATGTAAAGCACTTTAAGTTGGTGCATTACAATAATTCACAGAGAATCTATACACTTGTAGACGGGACAAAGGAGAGGCCAATCTTTGAATGACACGTTGGCATGCATCTAGAAAACTATTGGTTTTAATTAAACTGCCTATTTTCTATGGCGATAAAATTACGTTACTTATGTATTTAAGTAGCAGCACGTCACTTAATGACAGCGTGGCAATTTGAGAAAAACGGCAAAATTTATCACCTCGGGGTTATCTTATTTACTTCAAAGCAATTGCAGCTCGTGATGCTGATTTCTTGCGGCAGCACCACCTGCACACAATTTCAAGAATCATTTTTTTCCGTGCATGTTGATTTCACCAGTGTCTTCACCACTATGAAGATTTTTCATAATTAAAAGCTGCATGATATATAATAACTAGGCATGCTTTATCGCATACCACAGCATAATCCTCGGGTGGAAAGTGAGTTCACTAATAAATTAGTAAAGGGTGGGGGACTAGTAGCAAATGTGGTATGCGTTGGGCGCCATGAGACTACCGAGTTGAGGAAAACTGAAAATTCGGCCTAATTCATATCCATAATTGAATCTATTGCATATGTTACTATGGCCATAAACCACGAATCCAAGTTGAGCCACCCACAAAAACCAAGGTATACATAAAAATTGCGCCAAAATTCTGTACATAAAAAGCCGCTTCTTACTCAAGAAAGGAGCTAAGTACTTAAACCCATCACAGTTATTCATGCCTCTTGTCCAAAGCTCAAAAACACAAAGGAAGATGGAATGCACCGCCCAGTTACAACAGCCTATAGGATTAGGAATTCATCCTACCAACCCTACTCCGCTACCTCATTAACCGGTAAAGATGGAAGCCACCATTAATGCATAACAGTAACAACGTGCAGGCAAGCACTCACCTGCACTTGAACAGTGATGAGTTTTCTCCACCAAATATTCAACGTCTACCTCGGAGTCCCCACAGCTCTCATCGGTGTAGTTACCAGTTCCCTCTCTCTGGGCTTCTTCTTAAGGGATTCAACAACCTTCCTGGGAACTTGTATCCTTCTGTTCAGCGTCTCTATCACTGACATCAGCCACTTAGCTCTTTACGCCTTTTATCATCTTACCGAGGACCTAATCCAACATACACCTTCACCACGATTAACAGTTCTTGCAATCACCTTCTACGGTCGCAATGTCTTCGAGATGGCGCGCAACTGGCTGTTAGTGGTGGTGGCATTGGAGCGCCTCCTCTTTTTCCTCCGCCCAATCGACTTTGTACAGTTGTGGACGCCAGCCATGGTCACAGCAGCAGTGGCGGTGGTGATGGTGTCAGTACTGCTGGTGGGGATTCCATCGCTCCTCTACCAACTGCCTGATGTGTCACTGGAGGCGGAAAGGAACTATAGAATGGCGTATACCCTCGTGGAGTGCTTCTTGTTGACGATTCTACCCATTGTGTCCATGATTGTGCTCTTTTTGGCTACGAGAATGCAGGTATGGTAGCTGAATAGATGATTTGTCGTGCAGATATACGCATTTAAGAACTCCTTTTTGAATCAAAAGTGGTTTAATTGGGTTATGAGTTAGACTAATGAGTCCAAAAGTCTGCCTTGAAGGTACTAAGAGGTGTGTGAAAATGAACGGAACTGATACTTAGGATTCACCCCAATTTACTTTCTCATAAGATTGATGCTGATGTAGATAGCATTATCCTGGTAGGTGAAAAAAACGGCCCTGAAACACAATGAGATATGCAGCGATACCGACAGTAATGCAAAGCGCGTGATGGGCATCCTGCAGACGATCGTGGTGACCTTCACTGTTTTCATGATCCCTTGCTTCTTCAGCAGTGTGCTGCATTTTTACTGCCAGTACTATCAACTCTGCACCTCGCCCATCATGGAAGCCCTGGAGAACGGACTGATCGCGGTCGCTAAATACTTCTCCATCGTCGTCTCCACCTCAAATTTCTTTATCTACATCCTCCAGTCTCATGGCTACCGTCAGCGCTTGATCTATATGCTTCGACTGCAGCGCTTTCGATGGTTTCGGGCACACGGTGACGGCGGTGTGGAAAGGATGCAAGACACAACTGGAGGTGTTGGTAATACCGAAAGAGGTGAAAGACGCGATCGAAATGATAGGAGTGGTGATGATGCTGAACAATAAAGTGTGTTTTTAAAAGAACTAATGAATTTCGATCCAAACCTATTTACTTAAATTCAAATAGAGCTACGAGAGAAATAAAAGAGAAAAGAAGGCAGGGGTTGATAATTTATCTAGCACATCATAAATGATTTTTAGACATTAGTATTACAAATCTAGGACTGAATCAATTAAAATTTGTCCAAATAGATTCAATGAATAGGGTACAAGTTAAGCACCAACTCAATCATTTACTCATGCCTTTCCAATACATGCATTCAATTAGTAGCAACAAAAACAATAAATGCTATTTAGCAATCATTTTATAAAATGGAACAATACCAAGCATATTGTTGAGTCACAAATCATTCCTGAGGAGGAAATAAGCTATAATATTAGGGGAGAATAAGCATTTGCGACATGCCGAAGGGCTGAGGGAGCCCAGAGGCCATGCCGTCGGGAGGAAGGACAATAGCGAAGACTTAAGTGTCCGTGAAACCAAAGTGAAAAGTCAAACTGCTAATTAATGCATTGCTAAATCCTAAGTATTCTAGCGAATCGAATGACGAATTTCTTCTTTAGAGAATTTCTCCGAAGTAAAATAACCAGAACCTATTAAACACAAATACGCTCACCGGTGGTATTCATTCTCCGATACTCCGACTGCTCCAGTGTAACATGACACGCCTGTATGGCTTTCTCCGGGATCTTTAGACAGGTTCCAGCTTTACGTATAACTTTAATCTCATCCAGGATATCTAGTCCCGCGAAACCCAGAATAGCGGACGTGTAGGACTGTGGAAGGCAGTCATGCAATACAAATTTGAAAACGCCATTCTGTACTCCCTATATCTCCATGAGCAGTAAAATATGCAATGATTATAAATATAGCAAGATTTGCAGATGTCAAAGCCGAGGCAGGAATTTGTGTTTGGAACTCAGAAATATTACAGTAATATGTTAATTGCTTACTTTAGTAAATAGGCTATAAAGGGCCTTTACAGTTTTACCGCATCCTCAATCCCTGCCAGTAGCCCCCACCCATTCTGTAAGCAGACAATAACTTTTCTTTTGGAGCATTATGCCTTCTTTCGGCTATAGGGAAGTCTCAGGACTCTACATTTCCATCATTAGGGTAGCGATTGTACTGGCAAAGTAAAGTAAAAAGATTTTTGGAAAATTATTGCTTTCAAGATCCGAAATCCGGCCTAGCTTCAAGTTGAGGTAAGGTAAGACTTTTTTGTTGCAGCATATCGAAAAAATGGCTCTCCTTAAGCAGTCTACCCCAAATTAGGTGGACATTCAAAGAAGGAAAGTTAGAGAGAACAAATAAATCAGCGGAGTGGCTTCACAAGAGTGAACTTCCTGAGTGACTTCAACTGCAGTGCAACTGAAAATGGACTATTTGTGCCAGACAAAGAATAGGCTTCCGTGTAGCCACTTATTACAGCTAGAAAATAGTTAGGAGTCCATCCATTTGTGTTACCGTCTAGAGTTTGCGCGACATGAAGGAGGATACTTCGGGGACCATAAATGGTGCCTTTTAGGAGAAGCAATTAGTTTTCTCTGACGTTTCAGTGTGGGCTAGATTACACAAAAAACGGATTCTGAATCTCTGGAAACACATGTTATTTTATAGTGTCCTTGAAAAGACGCGCACCTGTTTAAATAATTTGAACCACGCAAGCTTACTACTAGCTAAAATATTAGCCTAACCAAGCAGTTAAGAAGAGCAGCATAGCCTAGTATTTTGTTTAGCCGTGCGTTTGAACATACGGACTCTTCAATTCCCGCTGGTTGTGCCTTCTCTCTGGAGCATGCCTCAAGAGGCATGATACTAGTCTCCCACATGTTCTTCTATGGGACTTCGATTTATAGCTGTAGTGATTTGGTATTTTGTCTGCAAGTTCAACCACAGGCTGGAATTCCACTTTGAAAGATGACTTTCGAATTATGCTATTAGGGTTTCAGGTTTTCTAAGCCTTACCAATATGGTCTCCCAGGGAAGGGGAGGGGAAATTCGAGGCGAAGTGGGACCCTATCATTGCCGTGGAGAGCTTAAGATGGTGCTATACAGCTGATGTGTACAAGATAAGCAACAAGTTAGAGCCTAGAATTTGGTCGACAGAATTTTAAACTATAAAACATACGGTGGACGTTTCAAAGCTACTGCGATCTCACTGATCTGGTATAAGAACAAGAGTAGGCATTAGCAACAGTAAAGCTTTACAAGTAAAAACGCTGAAACCAAAATATAACGATAGACTTGTTCAAGAAACATCCAAATCGATGAATTTGGCTTAATCAAATACACAATCTTAGCCAAAAACTTTAACGTATAACATATTTTTAGTTAAAAATGATAGGAAGAAAAAATTAAAGGCAGAGTAAACGATCGGATAATGCGAGAATAACTCTAAAAATAACCAGATTTGAAATATCTTTTAAGAGACGATAGCAGATCGTTGCCCTAAAATTAGCCCAATAAAGAAGAATGTGTCTTAAATTAAAAATATATATGCTAAGGCGAAAATAATTGATTGCGACACACATATCAAGCATTCCATAAAAACAGAATTTGTTTTGTCTATTTGTTACCCGCCAAACCTGTAATGAGGCGTGCGGATCCTGATATCGGCGATTCTGGCAAGAAGTTGGTCATCCTCTTGGAACAGGCGTCTTTGGAGTCTGTGAAGGGGGCGGGAGGTAAAGAATACCAACTCTTGAATCCGGATAAACACAAGGACAGGATATTAAAATCAAATCGTGATGTATCAACGGTTCGGCCCGATATCATCCATCAATGTTTGCTAATGCTTCTAGACAGTCCACTAAACAGAATGGGTATGCTTCAGGTAACTAGTCCTATGAATAGTTTCTCTTGATATGCCAGTTCTCCGTTGTTGTACATAGCATGCTCATGCATGCGCATGCATGTGGTTTTAATAATCCTGACTTGTTCACATGCTGTTGTTCGGACATCATGTTGTGAAGCTCAGGGAAACCGAAAGCTCTCTCCTCGTCGGGATAGTGCTCACATATCCGCCCTCAATTATTGGATTGTTATCAAATTGTGCTCCAATTTCGGAATTAGAGTCTTTGTATTCCAGGTTTATATTCGAACTCAAAAGAACATTATCATCGAGGTCAATCCAAAGATCCGCATTCCACGTACTTTCGATCGTTTCTGTGGCCTAATGGTCCAGCTTCTTCACAAGCTTTCGATCCATGCTGCTGAAGGAAATCACGAAAAACTTCTCAGGGTTGTGAAAAATCCCATTACTCGGTACTTCCCTGCCGGCTGTGCAAAGATTGGCATGTCCTTTTCCGCAGATAAAATCGTTCACCCTTCCGAAGTCCCTTCTATGAGTCGGTTGGGCACCTCGGAATCCATCGTGGTTGTCATCGGTGCAATGGCGCATGGGTCGGTTGTCTCTACAGCTGGTGACTTCCTCGACGAGGTGGTATCAATTAGTCGGTTCCCGCTTTCCGCTGCTCAAGTCTGCTCCCGCGTATGCACAGCGTTTGAAGAGGCCTGGGACGTGGAAAAATTTGAACCACCTTCTTTGTCATCGGCTTAAGAAGAAATCTATCTATTGTCACTTCCTTGTACATATGTATATTTTCTTGTTTCGTATTATTGTTATATGCTACTTTTCATCGATTAACACACTCCTTAAGGTTGTTCTCTCGGTGTCTTCGCGCACGCTTTCTAGAGAGTCCAACCGAGTCATCGTGTGTAATATTAACGAATCTTCTTCCTCTCGTTCTGTGAGGTAGAGGAGTCCAATTCAGTCCCGTTCTCTAAGAGGTGGGATTATTGGAACACTTTTTGATGGTGCTCTGTCCTGGTCTATCCTCATGTCATGTTGTGTGCTTGTGAGGGAAACGCCAGGTAAATTGAACTTCGTTTTTCACTTTGTGTGGAGAGGCGGGACACTTTGTTTCATCTTTGAAATGTGCCTGTGGAGATTTTGATGCGCAGAGTATGGGCTTGTTAATCATATTGTATTGTATTGCGAAACTGCTGCGAATCTCCTAAGCTTCGTCATGACTACGTTTGGAGATACATTTTGGTGTGGGCGGCCGGTTTTTGCTGTGGTTGGGAAAGTGAGGTATGTATTACTATTTGTACATCTTTTAAATTGTTCTTTATGGAAGACGCTGAATGGCGTTCGTTAAATGCTTATCAACATTGTCTTGTGAATTATAGGGTACACGTTGCTAAGGTGTAGCCTCATGATTTTGCTTCGATGGTTAGGTTTCATTTATGCTGAATTTTGATGAAACTGTTTGAGGTTTAATCGAGTGCCCGTGGATAGGGTTGCGCTTTTTAACTGGATTTTAAACTACCACAGTTAAACGTTGGGGCGGCGTTGGCTTCTCCGATTCATTGCTTGTGGGACTCCATAGCTGAAAGTTTCGTTTGCATTAGGGGGTCCGGTTTGGTTTTTTGTAGTGTGGATAGATTGACGTCTTGAGGGGATGTAGTCCGATCTATTGTCGTGTTGCATGGTTTGCTCATCAGCGAAATGGAGAAATCGTACGTCGCATTCCTTCATTTCTTGGAAGGGGAAGTATTTGGTAAATTTGTTGAGAAGACCGACGAGTAGCGTTGGCTATCCTGTGTATCAAGTTGCGAGTTGCAAGTGTTCGGTGGGTTTTGCTCTCAGTGTTATTCTCTCAATCGCTTTTCAGATGTCATTAGGTTTCAGTGAGATATGATAGTGTGCATTCTCCCTAGAGAAGGCAAATCACGAGTCGTGTCAAATAGTGTGGCGTTTGAATGCATCCAATTGAGAGTCTGATCGGTGCGAGCTCTTGGATATGGCCCAAAAAATTTTACCATTCAGGTGCCAATAGCGGGTGGCAAAGTGTCTGGTGGGTCAGTTAACTCATAAAAAGGTTATCCAAGGCGACAGAACGCGATTTGTCTGCGTGATAGTTGTCGTTACAGGGGTCGAGGATGCGTTCTTATCTGACGTGGAAGACCGAGACCCTCTGCGGGTTGCTTTCTAGTAGGGCGATGTGGACGCCAACTGCATAGCGTTTCTTTCCTCCTTCAAAGGGATGGGATATTGTAAAAATTTGGTTGCTTGTTTAACTCCCAGTTTTAGTAACAGGCCAATTTGGGGCTCCGCTATTACACCTTCATTGAGCGGCCTGGCCTTCAGGTTATGCTAGCGATCCCAAACCCCACTGTACATCAACAATACATATTTTACCCGAGTACTGCGTCTTCATTCGTCGCTTCGGAGCGCTGTTTTAGTGGTGAACCAGATTTTAAAGAACTACTATCCTTATTTCGACCCCTGGGTGATAAATCTTAGCAGGGTAGAAGGAGGACGAATGCTGCGGATGGGAGAATCTGTGACGACTTCCAAGAAAGAGGGTTGAGAATGACGTCTACAGTTGGCAGCAACCCCAGTTTCATGTTGCGCAAGTTTACTATCAACTACTGAAATGACACTAGCCATGAACCACCTAAGAAAGTTTGCTACGGAGCTGCCTGCGGTACCCGCGCAAAGAAGTCAATTAAGTGAACGTGCGACACCTCTATCCCTCTACTAGCTGGATAGGATTCGGATAGATAGGGGTGGGCAGCACTGAGGTGAGAACAAAGTGGTAAGAAGGAATATGCCCAAAACTCTACTCCTACAAAACTGTCGTGAACCCCATCCCTTATTAGACGACTGTTTCTAGGCCGGTATTCCTATGACTAGTGGTGAACAGGTGCGATGGCCAACCCGTTCCCTTTTCCCTCAGTGCAGTTCTCAAACAGGACGAAACTTCAGATCTAGTAGAACTGACAGGGGAGGTTAGTCAAGTTGCGGTCTAGTGTCTTCTCACTTGCATAGAAAATCGGTTGGTCCGTGAGGGATTTTCCTACAGCAAGAACTACCTTGTGGTGGCTGACGAGGGAGGTCGATCAAGGAAGGCTCCGAGGGCGGCGCCCAAAAAAGGAGAGGGGGGCAATGTAATATGTTAATTATTTGCTCAACCTCTGGTTTTTGTAACAGGTCGCTTAAAGGCTTGGCCATTGTTCTCATATTGAGCGGTTTTCTCTTCGGACCGAACCATTACCCCTGCTCCCTTCGGCAGGTCGGCAATATACATCCCACTCAAGTGGTTTGTCTCCTTCCGTCTTCAGGGGACACTCGGGGAGTACAGCATCGCTAAGTGTATACTTTTGACAAATTTGAATGCATTGAAGCCGCATTGATGTGATGTGATGAACCGCCCAACACCGACTTTAATTATGTTTCGTTGAATTTAATCGTCATATTTAATGTCACAAAACCGTGTGTAATTTGTGATGCTTGATGTCAGGAATGTCAAAAAATGGGTTGGAAGCAAGTACCTGCATACGCACTGTAGTACGGGTGTCCTGTTGCCAAAAGCGTAAGTCGAGTGAATAAGTGGAGCCGACGTTGTAGCTTTGGTCACACGTCTACTTTAGTCTTATGGGAGGTTCACCGCATACAAAAGTGGCTACAATGAATGATCTGCAACTCAATATAATATCATCCTGGTGGATGAGGCTGTAACTGTGACGCCATTAATCATCCACGAGGCACTCAACTCTTGAGGTTATCTTAACGGTTCATGATGTAAGTGTGCCGAGTTAATCACTCGAAAATGATCTCATCGATTATAAAGCAGGTCTTTTAACTTTGTGGCATAAGCCAGAAATGACACGTTATCCATCATCTGATATGCAAAAATTAATGAGCAGTCGAGTACTTTCCGAATATTTATAAGAAACAACATTTTAATACGGGTTACGCTAAAGAAACAATGTACAGCGCAATCAACGCACCAAGGATGTAAGGATATGCCTTTTAAACATCATATATAAAAGCCGTGGATAGCTCTATAATGTGCACATTCCAGCCTTCCAAAAGTTCTGTCACTTCTTTTAGAACACGAGATCGGGGTGACTGCCAAATGTGAGTATGGCTTCAAAACCCCGCCTTGGCGGATGTGGCCATTCACATCAAACATCTCACTTTCGTGGGGTTAGAATTTGGATTTTAGTCAAAGTTATTAGGGGATTGTACCTTCGGATCGAGTTTGATTGCAAATGTAGTGCTCAGAGTCATCCGTGAAATCGAAATAACCAAGTACCAATATGAAAACAGCCATTTTTGACTTTCAAAAGCCGAGCAACTACTAGAAGCTTTAGCCGCTAATTGTCATACTTGGTTTTAATAATACCTTAAAGTTGTTTTATCCATATCAATAGATTACTTTTACAATAGGGAACACAAAGTTGATTTATCACACAGATAAGTAGAAATTACCGACAACGCCTAGGAAATCCAAGTGCCTGTAAAAATTAAAAAGATGTTTATCTGCTGTTGGTAACATGGCGAAGTAAAATAAGGAAGGATTGTTTACTTGACTATTTCATTAAATGCGTAGAATTGTGAAGTGCTTAGCGACCTCACAAGTGACAGTAGAGTCTAAGGTTACGTTAAAATGATTTGTAAATTTAAAAATTTGAGGTTTTGCGGCCTTAACACTCATATTATCAGCTAAATTTACGCAGTACAAAATTTGCGGTTTGTTACACTACGCCAACTAAATGCCCAATCACGATTACCTAATTGGTACGTTCCCCTAATTGGTCCTCTCTCTAGGCCAGATTTTGTTGGGACAACCTCGCCTTCGCCGTCGCCCCGTGGCTGGGTTTCGCTGTGCTTAGGGTAGCTCCTCTTGTTCTTACATTTAAACTTGCTTATTTCCAAATCAGTTACTGCGCTTGAATATTGCATGACATGTTTTCGTTCTACAAGTATTGTCACTCTTGCATAGGTCTACCTTCATTGATATTCACTTTGATTATTCTTACGCAATACATTTGATCAAACCATAAAACGTCAATTTTAGTTTTTTGCCCGTTTTAAATACAACGACAGTAGTGCTCACCAATACCATAATCAAGTAATTTCACACGAATTTCTGGATGAGCCGGAATGTAAAAATGTTTTTGTCACTTTGCTGCGGTTTTTGCATATAATTTATACTATTCCTATTCATTGGCTCATATCGGCAATTGTTCTTTGCCGTTGCTCATCAGTCATATTGACTTGGGGTTTCTTTTGACGAAATGCGATATTACCTTGAACTCATTCGTACTACTTCATTTTTGATGCCTGTTTTTCGATGATAAATTTACAAAAGTTATTTATCGTAACCTGTAAGCAGGGTTTTGACCTGTCTATTTTTCTTGCTACAATGCTGAGAACATAGCAACATAACTGGCCTTAGCTAGTAATATAGTAATGCTTTTAGGCAAAAAATATGTCTTACTTTAATCTTGAAATGATATGCAAAAGCCCCTGGGAGACAGACAAATAAATGCCTATTGTTGCCCCAAAAATCAAATTTGAGAAGCATAGCAACGCTTTCCAATCTGATGTGAATTGATGAACTTTGCTGTTGTTGCTACTACACGCTTTTCAGACATAGCCAGTAATCAATCATTTGTTATTCAATCCTGGAGTATTTCATCTTTCAAACGGTTGATTTTTCCGTATGTCTGTTTAAAGACATCACTAAAGTGTAAATCGTCGTGAAAGTTGATCATATCAATCTTCATCCGTTCTGCATGACTTTTGTAAAAACGTCCCGAATTCCAAATTCCGTGTGTCTAGAAAATATGTAATAAGCTTTAACTAATTAGTCTTCTCAAACTTCTCAACGTGATTGCATATGAACGTGCCTGTCTCCTACGTTAATTATTGAAGAATTGTTCCCTAGGCCCTTTAGAATTTCTGCCGAGCCCCGCAGAATCCACTCAGTTTGTGCTTTTAAATATGAGAATAAATTAACCTAACTTACTGCTTTCTCTCTCAACCCAATATACTGTCACAGTAGTTTGGTGACATATTGAGGAGGATAAACAGCTTTGTACTGGCAGGAATCACTAAAAAAACTGGTGCTGCAAGTAAACGTCGTCATCACTATTGCTGCTGCCTTTGTCACTGTTGATGTTGCCGGGGTTTTCATGTGCGATGAGAGTTTGTGTGAGCCGGGTCGACACGGCGGCGCCATTTGTCAATTCGATTGTCATGACCTCTAAGGTGTGATACAAGTACACTGTTTTTTGGATTGACTCAACACAGGTCATGTCTCACTAGCAAAAAATAAGGCAGCTCATTCTGATCCCTTTGTTAAACGTTGTCGTAGCGGCGAAAAGAGAATAATGAAAAGTTATGATTTACTATCCCTTATATTGAAATTTGGCATCATATCACTCCAAACGCCTTCTGAAATAGCGTCTTGGGAGAACTCAAACCTAAGCGACCCGATAGGGCAGTTGTGTAAATGGTTTGCCTGTTTATAGGTGTATGGTGAAATTTTTTACAAAGGCAAAGCAAATTTAAGTAACAACGAATTCAAACTCTCAAATTTAATTAAAGTAACGACTTGCCTAACATTTCAATCCCTGATTGAGTCTTTCGAATTTAGTTCAGGTAGTTTTTATCAAACCAATCAGGGATTTCGTCTACAGTTTGTTGACTTGAATCCTGTAGTAGCGATAGCCTTGATATTTTCGGCATATTTTAGGGTAAATAGACTAGTTCTAAAACCTTTTGATAACGATATCAAAGGAGGCGAGAAAAGATTTGTTTGAAAATGAAGGTGAGCCATAGGATAATCCTTTTTAATCTTGCTGTGACTTTTTGTATAGAGATAGCGAAATGGAAACGTTTTTTAATAAACTATTTGGAGGGAAGTAGTATGTGCTTTTGGGAAGAGTTTCACAGCCATGATGTTTTGGTAAAGTCGGTATTATTGAGTCGCTCATTGCTTTTTAGCTAACATCTAAACTTAGCACTAAGTGAATAAAGCTATGATTTCTTTTACTCTGAGGTTGTCTGGATTTGTATGATAGCAGTAGCATCGATTTCCTGGATTTCTTTTGATGTAAACAGGCAATTTCTGTCATTGTAAGAAAACAATAGTTATGTAAATTTCCTTACAGGTAAGTCAAATTTTCAATTAATTCTAATAGGGATCGTTTAAAGTAGTAATTCCTCTTGCTTTTTTATCCTTGAATTTGAAGTGATGTTAAAGTGAATTGCCGTATGAATTTTGAAAAGGTACCATAAATACGTCGTTGAAGCCGAATTGAGGCTTCCACGTTCTTGAACTATTCTCATGCACGACTCTTACGTAGCTAGATTGCCCTAAAACCTTATCGGTTGGTGATCAAACTGGCTATCCCCTATACCTCCTTATTGTGTGCTGTGTTCCTTAAATTCTGTTAGGATAGCTTCAGATTTGTCAATTAGGCGTTTAGATTTGAAAGCACTATCAGAAGAGTACGCATTTGCTACTCTGCTTAGATTTCACTTGTTCCGAACCATTTTAGAGGGTAATTCTACGTAAGCCTTCACATTCCTCAGGTATTCTCGTTGCTATTTTTTGTCGAGGTATTAATATTAAATGAGCTACATTCAACTCCCAAAAGTCGGTTATGATAAACTTGAAACATCGAAGGGACACAAGTGATCTTCTATTTTTGTGTGGAGCAGAACAAACAGTTAATGCTTATATGTAGCTTTTGAAATGACCAAATTCCTGAACAATTTCTACTGCATCCCAAATAAATGTGGTCTCACGGTGCGCGCATAGACTCAGAGATTGATACAAATCTATTGTTAACAAGAAGGAGGATCAAAATTTTACCAGCCTATCAGTCTAGTCGTATAAATGCATGAAAATAAGGAGGTTATCACACGCTCTCTGACCTCACTGTGACATCCGCTAGCGCCAAGCTTACTGACCTCCCCCTTCCCCATTCTCTGTCATTCGTTATTTACGCCACGACGACCTCTCGGGGTGTGAGGACAGTAAATGTCTGCACACACAGCCACACGACTCTGACGAAAGGAATGTTTCAGACTGTTCAAAAGGTTGTCCTGACCCTTAGGGAGTCTGCGCCTTAGACTTAAATGCTCATTGCTCATTTCAGTTTTTTTCAAGCTGGAGGCATGATGATTTCAGTGGCATGATTTTTAAAAGTTTCCGCACACTTTACTCCAAAAATACTTTTACCCATGCCTTAAATTTTAATGTTCTTTGGCCGTGAATCGGTGCAATACGAGAGGCGCTTGTACTGGATACGTCAAACCAGAAATTTATGCTGGCAATGTCATCTATCATATGGCTCATTTTATGCCAATTGGTTAATGCACTTGAAAATCGCATCCATGATTCTTGGCTCTAATGACTGGCTTCTCATTTAGTGCGCGTTTAATGCCAGCGCCACGTATACGTGACATCTCGATTTTCCTACCTATGGCATGCTTTTTACCAATATGTGGTGATTGGACACGTCAAGTAGTTTTCCAAACAGACCGCTTGCACTCAAAGCAATAAAATAACTGCGAAATATTTTGGCCTGCAGATAATCACGTGCTTTTTTGGGTTTTACACAACAGTTGAATTAGTTTCAAAACTGATAATAGTTGTTGCCACTGTGTGGACTGTGGTGGTCCATTTTCCTTGGTGAACATTGTGAAGCACGACCTTTACTAAGGGCTCTCAGATATACGATTGCGGACTAAACTGGGTGGTTTTACCGTATGTCTAAATCAAGAAACTGTGCAACAAGTGACGATTGTACCAAGCCAGCTACGCCCACTGCTACGCCTGTAGTCTAAACACTATCTGCCAGCTGCTGATGATTAATCGTGTTGTCCCATGAAGCTTTGATACTAGCTGGAAGCCGTCCACTTTCAGACTCTTCCTCTATGCTGAAGGCTTGCGACATGGCTACTGAGCTGACCTTGAAAAAAGTTAAATGCGGAGGTGCTTGAGATTGACAATGAAGGAACCTAAGCATGGAGAGATTACTTTTCTTTAAAGATTGAGCAGCTGCTGGTTTATCAAGATGTGAGGAACAGATTCACGCAGCGTTTACTAATAAGATCTCATTTTTCATTTTCCTCTCCCTTCCCTTTGCCGACAAATCGACAGATATTGGCTTGCAAAGTGATTGCACACAATTTCGTACACACAGAGGAACAAAGAACACTAGCGGGAGCCAAAAGCACCAGCATATCTAACCGCAGAAGAGGAAGGAGTAATAGAAGACAAACAACTTATAGTTGTTCAAAGGATGCAGAAGTTGTTTCTGGGCACGACCCAACTGCCGCATTTGCAATTCAAAGTCAGCAATATTATCCACTCCAACACTCCTTCTTTCTGCACCACCAGCCTCGCCAACGCTACCAACCGAGAACCCTGAGTCCTCTCCTTACTGTGCCAACTAGGAGCCAGCGAACTAGCTTCTGATAAGTATGTCGCATCGTCTTTTGCCTCGGTGTGTGCCTATCTTACCAGCCAGGCGCTTGGTCACTTTCTCAGCTATTTTTAAATGCTCTGAGTACCATAAATTTTGGTTCCGTTGGACGGAATTTCTATTTGTTCCAGTCTGATCTCCATCCACCTAGGGCCATTATGTAAAACTTGATTTTGATAGTTGCCAAAAGTCGACACAATTTTGATAGCCTTTTTTGGCGTGTTTTGACAGATCTAATTATCTGCAGTTGATCCCTTCATTCTACGATATTTCGGTCTGCCGAATTAGAACCTCACTTTAAGGTTGACTATGTAAGGTCCGTTAGATTGCCATGGTAACTATCCTGCAGTTGTGCTGATAAGTGTACCGGTAGTTCCTGATGCCCCAAACTGGGGCCATAGGAAGTGAACTTTTATTCCTGACAGAAGAAAAAATTAAATAGTTTCACTTTTCATAATTCGAGGTTAATATGCTGACAAACCGTTTCCTTTACCTCGTGTCGTCCGAGGGATTCGAAATTTGATGTCTTAATGAAGTCGTGGACAGGATGACAAACGATCGCATAACCTTTGATGGCTGCTGTCAATCATTATTAGTAAATCTTGAAGAGTGTGGCATTTGTTTCCTCACTCACTCATTCCTTGAAGACTGAATAACGGCTGCTGCTTTTTTTATTGACAACAGACTCTGACGTATATAATCCTTCCTAAAAAATTTATGCTACGCTTCAATTGGCTTAAGTGTGATTAACTTCCCAAATGTGGCACATTTGGCTGTGAGATATTGAAGATGATTGGAAAGCAAGAGTGCCAATTTAATTATAGTTGGTGCAATTGTAAAATAAGACATTTGGATGGCTGTAATTGTCAGTTTCCCCTTCCCCCCTTACAATTTTCATAGCAGACGTGTTAATTTTAATTCTGAGTTTTTTCTAATTTCTTAACAGCTATTACCTAGCATGGTACCAGCAGAACCCTTAATAGTCAATGATGAGATGAATGCCTCATCACTAGAGATGGAGCAACAACAGGTGCAGTCCCGAAATACTCGGGTCCAGGGCCACCAAAACCATAATCATCAACTTAGCCTCCAGCATCATCTTCATCACCACAACCTCGCAATTTCATCGCGAGCCTCTATTCACCTCCACCCTAGTCACCACCACAGTCACTGTCGCGGGAAGAGGAAGGGCTCCACATTCTCTTCCAAGTCATCAACTTCTTCGTCATCGTCGTCCTCATCGTCTTCCACGTCCAATCTTGTTCCGGTGAGTAGACAGATTTTATTGTTTATTCACCTGCTTTGAGACGAGTTCTTATGGTTTGTTGATTGACTCATGTGTTTTTTAATTATTTTTTCGGTCTATTGAGTCCTTTCTTAGAGCCAAGTTAAAAGCAGCAACATACTACTACAAGGCTTCATAAGGAAATTACAATATTCGGTAACTACAGTCATAGAATAAGTATTAATGAAAGGATTTTAAAGTGGTAGTACACTTGTAAATATTTTAATGAGACCTTTGAAACCATGGTTTTTTTGGTTTGTTGTTTGTTCTCAACCCGTAAAGAGAAATCGTTAATATACAGGGTGTCACTTGGCTGATCAAAAGGTTGACGGGCTATAAATTGCTACAATATCGGTTAACTAGAAAACGATTTCGATTTTTTATTAGTAAAAATGCCTTTTGAAGTAATTAAAAAGTAAATCTGTGGTGTTTACTCTGTTGTTTTTTCTTCAAATCTATGGAAGAAGTACCGGTAATGCAGATCTAGTTTCTACCGTCAAAAATCTAAGCTTTATGCTAACTTTTTAAAATACATTGTTTGAGTTCATCCTGTGGCATGATAACGCCTTTCAGCGTTTAATGCAAATCCCATTTTCGTCTTCCCTTGTCTCTCGTTATAGCTTTAAAACAGCCTTAAAGTGGGGTATTTTTTGGTCTTTTTTGAATGGCATGAATCGCTCTCACGTTTTTTTATAAGATGGTCGGAACTAAATTGCTAGGTTTAAGACACAAGTAACGTGCTTAATTTTACTTTCTTTTTAGGTGGTGGATAAATTTGGGGTGTTTAATGATTAACGGGTCAGCGTAAATATTGCCACATTGGTTCTAGACTTCCGTAATTCAGGAATCTTATTAGAGAAAGCATCAAATGCGTAGAATTTGGACGGACGATTGAATTTAATGGATTTTGACAGCCAAAAAATGTTAAATAAGTTAAAATTTTTTTCTTCAAAAGCTCTTAAGGTTGACGGCCTCGTAGGCTGTCTGATTTGACCCTTATTTTGTGCAATAGTCAGTGTTTCAGTTCTCCACCAATAAGTACTATGCGAAATTTCAGTATAACTTACCCACAGTCGCAAAAGTGTTGTTGCATCCCGGGGGGACTACGGGCATGGCCAGGAGGCCGTGTTGGAGGGCGAAAGCACAAAGGCGGAGCCTTAAGCGCCCGCGAAACCAAAACAAAGGGTTAAACAAATAATCAAGGTATTACACAGTTCCTCCCCTTTTGCGTGTCGTCCACAGCACTCCCCTTGGTCAACCTTCCACATCAATCATCACAATATAGTCAATGCTGTAAGAAAACACTTATAAACAAATCGCGTCTGCTGGAATCGCCTAGAGACCAGGCCGCTTGGCAAATGTATGGTGGGGGAGCCCCAAATTGGCTTGTTGCCAAAACCGAGGGTTAAACAAGCAATTGACGTATTACGGCATGTCTTTCTCGCCACAGCATTTTGGCGAAACAAATCCTTCATGAAACAGATGATTCATCAAGGAGTTTGAAGTTGCTTTGTAAATGAAGGAAATATTTATCTGTTTTTTAAGTCAAACCTTTGATTAAGAGACTTATCAAGTCAGTCATTCAGTTCATCTGACTTTGCAATCAATGTGACCTTTGGTTCACAGGAGACGATTAAAAAGGCTGCGAGTTTTATTTTCATTGGAGCTGTGGAATAAATAAGTCCCTCTTTCGCGAACATGCTAAGTAACTTTCATTCTAGTCGGAACTCCTCCCATGAGGAAGGTATTTCGGACCCGCATGATTCCATGACATGTGAAAAGTTCCAACGACTTTAGGCCTTCTTACGCTTTTAAATTCCTGGTGGTACTATTGTAGTTGGGTAACATGAGCTGAAGCTGCGGAGTAGATGCCCCTTAGTAAGCGAGATTTCTCAACCGGAATTTCCCAAAACACTAGCAGCAATTTCTTTGAGCTGTTACAATTACAAAGCTTTGCAAAGATTTAGTCCTAGGATTTCTTTCCTTTGGACTCCGCATTTGCACAGAAATTTTGGTTGGGAAAGCTTTCAGATCTGAGTTGTTTATAGAAGTAAATGCACAGATCATTCACATTGTTTTCGTTGCCTCATGTTTTGAAAGTCTCAAAGGCAAATTGACCACCACAGTAGATGTTTGTTTGTTCTAATGCGACACCAATTGCCATGAACATTTTGGACCAATTCAACCGCTTCTCAGTAACTATGAAAATTATGCTTTTCCTCAACCCAATGACATTTTATGTCTACTTTGCTATCTTAAACCCAACCAATCTGTTTGCAACACGGTTTAGTGTCATTAGTTATCAATTAACTGATAAGGTATCTATGTCACATGTGCGCGACACTGGTAGAGACTGTGCTGTTTATCTTAAACGGATAATTTTATTCTTCTGTCTAAATATATACACCATATCGCAGCCTCTCAAAACTTCTCTGAAGACGAAGGAAGTCATTAGGCTCGGAGGTTAGGCCGCTTGGCGGTACAATGGTGGTGGTGGGATCTCAGCTACTGCAGTATTAATTAATATTGCAACTTGCTCCAAACTTATCATTTGTTCCTCCTTTTAGCCTACATGGATTGAACAGAAAATTACCCAACTTAACTGTGCCAAATACGTCCCCGCAATCAGATCTCCCGATCGGTGAGTTTTCTTTGCGATTTTCAACCATGATTGCAATAACCTTTGCTTCTCTCATTCGATTCTGGAAAGGCGGAGCTGTTTTAAAATCGACTTACTGTAGCAACAGTGCATATATGGGAGAACGAAAGTTGTTTGGCACCCTGAGACTTCTTCAAAGACGAGGGCAGGCGTAGTACTCGGACAGAATACGTATTGTCGACTTAAAGAAGGGCTTGAGGGATACTGGCATGGTCCAGAGGCCAGGCCACTCTGCAGGAGTATAATGGCGGTACCTCTAAGCGGCCCGTCGCCAAAACTGAGTTAAACAAACATTTAATGTATCAAGTAGCTTCTTTCCTCTTTTGAGCGTCACCCTCGACGCTTTCCTTGTTCAACTCCCGTGTCATCCATCGCAACGCAATCCGTGCTGTAAGAAATACGCCCACGAGCCAACCGCACCAGTCCACGAACTTGTATGCAACCGGGAAGATTTCTGTCCGCAACTTCACGGATCGTCCTGGGCAATTCTACTGGATCCACAGTTTCGTTTTGTTTAAGAACTGTATTGAAGGGGCAAGAGTGTGCTGGCCATCATGAATATCCATCGTCAGTCGTTGAAAAGCCGGCCTAAAAGCAATCGCATAACGAAAAACGAGGTTTGAAATAGCTCCGTGGGAATGTGGTTCTTGCGTTTTCTCCTCCTTACTACTTTGTTCTCGTTTCATTGCTCCTCAGCCATATCTATCTGGGTTCTATCCAGCTAGCAGAGAGGTGGAGGAGGTGTCACGTGTTTGCTTAGTTGACATCCTCGTAGACAGCTCCGTAATGGACTTTTCCAGATGGTTTACAGCCACGGGTAGTGTTGCTTTGGTTGCTAATAGCTTTCTTGCACAACATGGGACGAGGGTAGTTGCCGAAGGTAGACGAAATTTTTAACCCGTCTTTTGGGCATTGTCACGGATTTTTTCATCCGCACCATACGCACTTCTTCCGCCCCTCCATTGTCTATCACCCAGCATTATAAATTAGGATAGCAGTTCTTTAACATCGAGATCGCTTTCCGCTGCCAGCAATGCAACACCTTAAGGCTTCCTTGAAGACGAAAAGAGACATAATACATGGACAGGATATGCAATGCCGACTTACAGAAGGGATTGAGGCTACTGGCATGGCCCAGAAATCGGGTCGCCCGGTGGAGGTACAGTGGGGAGCTCTAAGTGGCTTGTTACCAAAACAGCGATTTTAATAAATGAAGCGTTGCATTTGATCGATGTGGTGGTTAATTACAAAGGTAGGGCTGACATTGGGCTGCGTCTGTATCCCTTTTCTTATTGATTTGTGAAGGTTTGAAATAAGTAACTTCAAGTGGTTGCACTCTTACAGCTATTTATTAGTGAGTTCCGTCATGGTGAAAGGATGTAGGCAGCGCATACAGCAAAGAAAGAACAGTTCAATAGACTAATAAAAGGAATAATAGTTTGTTGATGTTTGATTAATGTGAATTTCGGAGACTTCAAGTTGTTACTATTTCACCAACGAAACCTAATGTAGAAACTGACTTGCTGGATGGAATCGTCATATCATAACCAGCGTCATTCACATGTGATGTGCTCTTTGTCAGTCTATGATGCTTGGGAGAAACAATTTGTGTCGCAAGCAAATTGGGTGTGTTGCAATGACAGTAGATGTAGGGTGTCCTTTGTTAAGTTGACTTCACTTTTCCCGATTTTTAAGCAAAACAACTTTAGGTAAAGTATGCCCCCTGGAGGTCCTGCTGTGGTGACGTTTGGCGTGGTTATTGTAATACTAACAATCATGTACCACTTAAACCGTTTCAGCATAACTGCTAAAGAATTGGGGTAGTTGGATGAATGGACTATGTCGTACAACTCAAATTGTTGCTAGAAGAGAAATCTTCTCAAAACATTCTCCGCGAATTAGAGTGAGACTAGGAGAGGCCAGCAATACCATATTGTTAGATAACAAAGGATCTAGTTTGATTGAATTAAATGGATCCGAATCCGTGTGGGGTTTTTTTGTTCAAAAAGTACACACATTTAGGCTCCACCCGTTACGCACCCCACGAGATGTGTTTGTGATGCCAAATGAAATGCGCTTTTGATTGCGTCAAATCCTCAATTGCATCGGCTTGAAGCATGCAAAAGTTGTATTGGATCACGCATTTCCAATGAAAAGCAGTGTGATCTTTCTTCTTTGGTAATTAAGCTTTCGTCATGTTATTTCTACGTTCAGAGTAACTGCCAATGTTGAAGTAGTTTTACTAAAGGACTGTGTATTGGGATCCCATCTGAAGAAACCATAAGAGGATTCCGGAAGCAGGTTTATTATCAACACGCGAGATGGCTAAGGCAGCATGACTGAAAAGTTTCAATCTCTTTCAAAATAAAAGGAGTTTGTCCTGTTATCCCTTATCAGGTTGAGGGAGCGCTGAACAGGCATTGCATGCATGCGCGTACACTCACTCATCCATAAGCCTTTCAATCAATTCATCCACCTATCCTTGCTCCCCCCAGCTCTTAATTTGTCCATAAATCCGTTTTAATGGGTCTTCCTGATATTATTCGACGTCTAATTCTTTCCTTAGATGTGGTTGCGGTCGATTCCCGGAGGAGCATGATCTTTATGTAATTCGTGATGCGCGTATGGACGCCCATTTAGAACCGGAAAAAGAGCGATGGCAGGTTAAGAGCCACACATGTGAGGTTCCCACGACCGCCTTTGGCACTGTCGAATTTCAGGGCGGGCCACATCCCACTAAAGCTAGGGTGAGTTTTCATTCTACATCTTTTCTATTACATAATCGCCTCTCTGTTAATGTACTGTCCAACCTACCTATCCATTTAATAGGTTTGCCTATCGAGTACGATCTGTGATAGCTCGAATGGCACAGATATTCCTCATACAGCCAGCTATTCAGTTGATATTTTTTAGCTGTTTTTACTAGACTAGATTTTTACCTGATAGTATCAGCAGAGACAGTATCATGATTATACAATTGAGTGACTGAGAAGTGCCCGCCATAATGACTTTTTACTGTAAATTATGAAGTATAAGTGCTCTTTATTGTGCTTCCATCATTTACCCCTCATATTATCAAGTGGCGGTTCAATCTAATGGTTGTGATTCAAACATGTATGATTTGCTAGAAGAGTCTTACTCTTGTTAAACTTGTTACAGGAGGT